GTCTTTTTAAGAATACTTTCAATCTCATTCTGAGTATTATACTCACAACTTTCTCCCAAGTGGAAAAATATTTTGGGAGTTACTATTTTATATATGATAAATATCTAAAATATTTATATATATTATATAAAATACCTTGCATTCTGAGCTATATAAAATAAAACTAGAATATAACAATTTATATATATTTTTAGATAGAATGTAATCTTTCAAGGTTTTCAGGTAACACAGATATGTCAAGGAGAAACAGTGCTACTGTAATGGTCAAGAAGAAACAAGCTCTTTCATTATTTTTCTTTTGGGAAAACAAGGATGAAAGCTCTATCTAGGATAATTTGAAGGCTATGAGTCATTTACTAAAACTGTTTATTTTTATCTATTTTGTCCTTAAAGTTTAATAGCTAAGATGAAAGAGCAGATAGAAAAATGTAGGGTAATTCTTAGTGATTAGTCAGTTTTTATGTCTCTCAGATGGCATATATTAAGAGATGAAATTATAATTTGATTTTTTTTCCAAAAATACACATAGCTGAACAAGAGGCTAAGAACTTTATGAAGAAATATGTGATAAAATTTAGTGAAAGGTTTAGCACTATGTTCTGTTTTGGTCTTAAAAATCTTAGTCTGTTGGTTTGTTAAGTGTGGAATGAATCTTGTCAAGTCAAGTAGGGTGTTAGAACTGTGGTATTAAATTTGATATCAAAAGTGTGGCTGGAAATGTGTTGCTGAAGTCTACTATGCGTTAAAATAACGGACTTCTGTGATGGATGCAGCAATGTTATGTAACATTCCAGCTAAAATTTCGCTGTGGAAATCCATCATAACATGCTAGATTGATTTAAATATCTATTTAAGATTTTTTAATGGAGACTCAACATCCTGTTCTCACTGAGAACCTTCAGGGTTTTTCTTGATCTAGTGGTCTTGTTTATGGCTTTCAGTTGGCAAAGAGAAAGAGAATCAGATGTTTGTCAGTAACAGTTGAAGGTACTACAGAAACAATAGAATAGCAAACACTGATAAAATTAAGCCAACCATATAGAAGAAAATAGTGGAAGACTCCATGGAAATGTCTTTCTTCCAACTAATCACATTTTATGAAAGCGATTTCAAGACTTGAACATCTCTGTTATTTAGAAATGAAATAGCTTATAAAGCAGTCTCATTTAAGAGAATAAATAGTCATGGTGAGTAAAATCTAAACTGGAGTTTCCTATGCAGCAGAATTAAGCTTCCTTATCAGTTTTAGCCAGTCTTTTAAGATTTAAGTGAAGTTAAAATTTGCTGAAATTGAATTAGTTTACATTAAAGTAGAATTCATATTTTCTCAGGATGAAAAATCAAAGCAGATCCAGCTAGAGCAGGTTACTCAGGGCCTCGTGCAATCAGGTTTTGATCACCTCCTAGTCAGAGATTCCACAGCCTTGCCAACCTGTTCCAGTGTTTTATCATCTTAATGGTAAAACTGAGGAAAAAAAAAAATACTAAAAAACCTTTCTTTTTTTGAAATTGAGTTCTGACTTGTGTTCCTTGCTTCTCATCCTCTCCCTGTGCACTTTCAAAAAGAGGTGTCTCCATCTTTTCTATACCCTTCCAATTTTTGTAGGTGTAGAGTGCTATGATCTTAACTTTGTAGTATTTTTACCTTTTTTTTTTCCTTGTGTGTGTTTGTGTAAACATCTAGCCTGAAGATCTTCATTAGTGTCTGAAATCAGTTTCTGTGAACAAAATGTTCTTTCTTATGGATGCGGGCTCTAAACTTCCATTTTGACAGCATAAGATGATGCAGAATTATTGAAAGGATAATGAATCAGCAGTACAGTGTACCAATTAGATTAATTAGATTTCAAAATTTGATGGATAACCATACTATATGGAGAGATGTGAAGCTATGACCTTACTCCTGAGAGGCAAGAATACAAGCAATTGAGTCTCACTGACATTTAAGGCTCTGTGTGTGTGTACAGCTAGATGGATACCTACGTAGGTTGTCTCTCTGTATCATGTCCATTGCCTCCTTGAAGCAGAATTCTTGCTGGACTAATTACAAAGCTCCTGATAGTTCACCAAGCTCATTTTTCTCCATAAATTGGCAATATGAGCATTTGCTCATGTATTTTCTGACTTAGGCTATGATTTCAGTTTTATTGAATCAATAACTCTCTGAAGATGGGGCATTTAAGTTTAAAGACTATTCCTGTTTGTGGTTTCAGTTTTGATGCTTCTTTTACGCCACTAGTAATAAAAACAGGTCATGATAAATATTTCATATACTGAATAGGAATGAGCTTTTATGCTGATGTTCAGTGTTGAATTTGGTACAAAAACTTTGGAATAAAAAAAAAGCATTAAGTGAAAAAACTATGCGGTTTATAATTGGTCTCGATACATATTTGTTTAACTTAGATTTGCAAATGTTAATTGCCCGTGGTTCCTTCCAGTCTGTTGAAATGTTATGGTCCTTAAACTGGAATAAACATACTATTTTAATTATTATGCAAACATTATTTATTTGTTTCCTACAATATTAATTACCTTTCTTGCCCTTTTTTTCAGGGAATGTATATCAAATCAACTTACGATGGACTACATGTAATCACAGGAACAACTGAAAATGTAAGCTTCTTTATTCTAAACTACTTTTATAATGCATTCAAGTATTTTCTGTATATCTGCAGTGCATTTTGTAATATGAAAGCTCACTTTAAATCAAGCCACTTTTTATTAGCACTTCTTTCTTTAACTTTTCTGTAAATAAATCATCTTTGTAAAAACTTGGAACCTTTGAAAATAGACATAGAAAAATATCTATGATGAAGTGACAAATAACTAACAATTTAACAAAATGAAAATCTTGAATTTCTGTCCTCAATGATTCTTCCAACACACCTTTCTAACAGTGTTCATGTATATGTTTTTGCTGGCACAAAAGTGTTTTCCTTTATAGTAAGTAATTTTTTTCTTATGTAAGAGCATCATCGTTAGTCTAAAATAGTATCTGTTGTATTTAATTTTTGTTTTCTACTTTAGATAAATCTCTCAGAACATAGGACAGTTTGGGTTCATATAAAAAAAAAGTATTTTTCTATCAACAGAACAGTAGAAATAATATAACAGGAGAAAAAATCTGCCTCAGATGTTTATATTGACCAAAGTAGTCACAAAATTGGAGAGTTACTGATAAGAGTAGCTTTCCTCTGAGCAGCTCTTAATATGTATAGTCAGCTTACTTTATAAAGTCAGTAAATATTGTCATACAATGATGAATACTTTTTTGCTGTGTTGTTTTCTTTTTTGATAGTATTTTTTGTGCATTTTTTTGTTATAATTACCAAATTAATTTTAAAAGAATGTTAGAAAAATTAGACTTTTGGAAATGATGCCTGTCCTAGGATTGACTCATGGAAAATGAGTAGCTTCTGTATGTCTAAGCAGTTCAGTAAAATAGATTGTAAAATAATAAATTTTAAAATAGTTACAATATCAGCAGTAAGGGTGATGTAAAAAACCATGGATAATGGAGAATGATAACGTAAAATATTATAATCAACTTTAGACATGTTATAGAATAATCTTTGATAAACCAGAAGGTTTTCAAAGCTAGCGGTAATTACTGACAGGACTATCACTAAGAAGGGAGAAATTGTGGTATGTGAATGGAAGGGGATGCATGATTTGACAATGTTAAAAAAGCAAGTTAGTTAACAATCCAAATGACTATTGTATGAGGATGTATGAAAAGTTCTTTTATGAAAATAACCATGCCTGAAAGAATTATTGGGAGTTAAGCACCATTGTATTTTCATATTTTCCATCATCTGTAGTAAAAATACAGAAGAAACCAAGAAAAAATTATTAATTATAATTTTCATTGTAGACCCAGAAACGTTAGGCAAATCTGAACCTAAAGCACACAGAAATGCTGCAGCATATAAATCAGTATGACTGATCATAGAAAAAAATAAACAGTGTGACAGGAATAACGAAATAGCTTCTAAATATCCTGCTTGTTACTTAACTTGCAATTCATAATTATAAATTTGGAAAAAAAAAATTGACTTCAACTGCTGCAATCTAATTACTATGACAGACTTCATAATAAGACCCATCCCTTCTGGTTTTTCGCAGTGTTTTAGTCACGCTGTTTTCATTCAGTCTTGGATCTGTTTAACAGTGTATAGCTGGGTAAATTACAAGTTTAGATTTTATAAAGCTAATATTGAAATAATGTAATGCTGACACCCAAGGAACATAAAATTAGCACTGTGCAGCTAGCCAAAAATGTAAATTCTTGCTGGCATACATCAGTGGTATGCTGGCCCATATGGGTAAGCTTCATATGTGGTATTTTGTTCTTCTTGATTTATAGATATTGAGTAGTATTGCATCATACAATTTTTGTCAATCAGTTTTTAGACAGTGCAAACCCATGGAAAGCCTGATGATTTGTGTGTCACAATTTGTGAAAGCAAATTAAACTTAAAATTTGATTGCTTATTTATATTAACACCATTGGCAGCATTTAAAAGTCTTAAAATAACTACATGTGTATCCTGGGTCCTGAAACTTATGAATGATCCATCTTGATTATGTTGCAATAGATTTTGTTCATAGATTGAATTACTCATGTTATAATTAATCCACTTTTTTATTGTAATTCTAATTAATTTTAGAAATATAATGCACATTGTAGGGAAAATATTTATATATTGATAACTGAAATTCACAGGAGGAGTTACTAAATTGCCAGCCACTAAGATTTTTATTTTTATTTTTGCTAAACTTTAGATGTCAAAACTTTTTGATAGGACACCACCATAAGAAGTTGTGTTTTTTGGGTTTGCTAGAAGTGTAATCACATGTGCAGATAAACCAGCTTCAAAGACCTTTAATTTCTGGCATTTTAGCAAATTGATTTTTCATTCCTTTTGAAGGGATAATTGACCTCAGAGCCAGTGTTTAATTTTAAATGATAATAATTAGTTCAGCCTTATCAAAGTCAGGAAAGGATCTAAAAAGAGAAAGAACCAGGCCTTTGCTTTTCCAACTAATATCAGCCGAAGGTAAACATCATGAATGGTGGTGTTGATTTCAGCTTCCTGCTTACTTTTTATTCACTGTTTAAAGTGATTAAGTTTGTATTCACACTGAATTCTAAAAATACATTTCTGTTACACGTTTAGTCCTATGCAAAAGAGCAGTCTGCCCAAATTCTGCCCATTTCCACTAAAAGGAGAAATTGGCACAGGCGCCAGGTAGTTCTTCACATTGTCCTACAAAGTATGTAGGTAAAATTCTGTTTATTTTAGTGCAGAACAACTCAGGTGACAGGAGTTGATATCCAGCTGTAATAACCAGGTAGTGTAGCTCAAGGGCTGGACTCCCCACTACAGGAGACACAGAAGCACTTGTGAAAGAACAACAGACATCAAGCAGGTGAGGAGTTGGAACATAGCTTGTGCTGGGGAGGTTGGGCAGAGCAAGGTTAGGAATGATAAGCAAGCAGTGGGCTGAAGATAAAGGCTGTGCTTGGAATAGCACCTATAACACACTTGGAATCACTGTGTCAAATATTGGCTATTTGCCCTGTTGGCTTGGGTTTTCTTCCTCATTGAATAATTAATGATGTCTCCTGCACTCTCCAGCAGTGGTGTAGACTGCAGACTCGATTGCTTAGTCAGCAGGTGCTGACTATTGGAGAGTGATTTGACCTCCTCCTGGATGAGTGTCTCTGGCATTTTATTCAGAATTGCAGTCATTTTCTTCCCAGTGGTGATTTGGGGTTCTCTTTTATTGTTTCCTCTTGCCCTTGTTATTTGTTTATTTTATGTTTTTAATCTCCATCCACAAAGGGATGGAAATGCTGGGTGGGATTTGTGGTTGGTGAAGCCTGTACAGCTGAAGAGCTCTTTCCAGTTTTCTGGAAGTCTTGATTGGTACACAGTGAGGTCGTGAAAACAAGTCACCTTTAGTTCAGATAAATCTTTTCTTTCTTCGCATTTGTAGCTGGCTCTTATGCCGTGGGCAATTCATGTTATAGGCTGGCTCCAGAAGGCATCCAGGAACTGAACTAAGTTTTGATAACATAACTGCTTTTCTGTGAGGAACTTCTTCAACAGTATTAGAGCTAGACCACTCTCTGTAGCTGCAAGTGGGTCCTTCTGTGCCTTTCTTAGCAGTCTGCTTACTTGGTTAGGGAACTTGAAGTGTTACTCAAAGAGTATTTTGCTTTAATGTTTCTACATTGTTTGAGATGGGGCAATCTGTCCTCCCCTCTCTCTGACTCCATATCTAACAAGGAAACATTCAACCTTGTCCAAATGTCCTGGCTGGTCTACTTCCTTAATAGCTAACTTCCACTGTGATTTATTACTCAAGGTGATGTCTCAGCTCCTTAACTCTTTTCTGGTTATTTTCTCTTGAATTTCAAGTTGGTGTACTCTTGTGTCAGTAGAACTCTCTTGTAAGCTAGTGCACGTTGCAAGTAGGTTGCCTTGAATTCTCAGTTCTCTACTCTGAAGTGACTGCTGATCTCCTGCATGCTTTACAGATTTGTCTTACAGATTTAAGATCTGACTTCAATGAAGTATTTAAAAAAATGGTTTACTAAACAGTTGACCATGTTCAAGTGGCTTTTCAATGGGTTTTAATCCATTTTAATGCAATCAGAAGAAGCTGTATTTAGGATAAAGGAGTTTTTCAGCTCAGCAATCCCAAAATTATGTGAATGGTGTATATGGAAGTGTGTGTGTATATATATGTGTCTCCTGAAGAGCTAGTCTGTCACTGACATTATCCATTTGTAAATTATCACTTTCTGTGTTCAAATGGTTAATCTAGTACTGTCTTGGAAGTGCTGGAGCTGTAGTGTATTTGCAGGGTATCTTCAGTGCACTTCAGCAATAAAACTGCTATATAAAGGACTATGAGACCTGCTTTCCTGTTACATACATGGTTGGTCCTGCCCTGTCCCTGACCACACAGTAAGCTCAGTATTCGTTGACTTAATAGATTTATTTCTATGCGATGCAAATTCATTTGGTGTACTTCCAGCAAGATTGCGACTGCTCATACTCCCCACAGAGAGGTAAAGAAGTTAGAATGTTCCACCAGTCAAAAAGGCAGTTCATCACCAACAGAAGTGGGATTCTAGATTTCTTCATTGAATTACCATCTGTAACCAGAAAAAACATAGTTCCTTACAATTACACTTTTTATAAATATGACCGATTATTGTTATTTGGTAACAATTCTTTGGGCACAGTTTTCTTGCCTCTTTCAACATCCATTGTTTTAATTCCTGCTCTTCCCTTCCCCCTCCACACTCCCATGTGAAGTTAATTATTATGTCTTGTCCTTAGTCTCCTGCTGACCAGTGTAAGAAAATCCACGCTGGTGATGAGGTGATCCAGGTCAATCATCAAACTGTGGTAAGTATTTTGGAAATTCTGCTCTGCAGGCTTTGCCTGTTCCCACTGCTAAAAAGGTAATAATTCTTCTTAGAAAGTAACTTTGCCAAACTAGATTAGTATTTATGTCTTTTAAAATATCATAACTACTGCTTATGTTTGATAAGAAAAAGCACAAGTAGAGTCAGTAACAGCCCAGAAAGATTAAGCCAAATTTATATTTTCCACAGCTGCTATTCAACATCATACTCTTTCTATAAGGAGATCCTAGAATATTTCCTTGAAGTTCTTACACTTCTCATTGTGGATACACCAGCTAGTTGAACTTTTTCTCTTAAACAGAATTTTGCATTCTGTTTAATACGAGATTTGGATTAAAAATGCAGAAGTGCTGGAACAGCCATATATTCTGAATCTCTTTGGGGGGAAAAAACCCAAGACCCCCAAGACGATTTAAGTGTTGATAGAAATCTAGCAGATTTTGCTTTTGTGCATTCTTGCATGCAGATTTATTTTTAAACAGATGAGCAGTTTTATAAGGTTAGTGAAAGTATTAATGTTTAAAATCACATATGTGTATGCTGGGCCTAAGGTATTGTAGTACCTGATTTACGTACATTTAAACGTGCCTACCATTGCATTTCTTTCACAGCTGTATGCTGCATTGTGTAACTGTATGTATATAAAACTACATTTCATTTTATGTAGAAATCCAGGACTGATGTGTTTCTGCAGCATTCATAGAATTGTATCCTGACTTAAAACACATGTGACTTCACTGGAGAATTATTAATTTATTTGATTAAATTATTTGTAATTGAGGTCTAAAAGCCTATCAGAGCCTCATCCAAGATTGAGTGATTATATTTTTTCCTGTTTTGTGATGACACAAGCTGCTGCCTTATTACTGATGTTAGTTCCAATATTGATGGTTACTGAAAAAAATACAGTCAAGTTTTGTCCCAGTACTATCTTAAGTCATAGGGACTGTTCCTTTAAAATAATAAATAAAATTGTATGTTGCAGAAGAATGGAAGCAATGTTGCTGGAACTACAGGTGAAAGGAACACTTCTATTTATTACTTCTTAGGCATGAGTAGCATTGTGACAATGATGATAACTTCCTAAAGTGCTTATAATTTAGCCATTTAACTTTGTCTTGCTGAACCCCATCTCCAAACATAGCAGCAGCAAAATTAAGAAATCCCTTTCTGTCTGTCATTTGTGTGAGATGGAAATATGAAAGTCTGACTATTAAAATCTTATTATTAGAGAGCAAATATTTTCTCTTGAAAAGAATTATAACTTATTCATTTACACTTTAAATGTTAATGGAACATGCAGCTGTTATCTGTATTAGAGAGGTTCTATGAGTTGTCATAGTTACAAGTTGAAATATGCATTAGTCTGGCTTTCTCCATCAAACATATTCTTCAAGTGATAGACCTGATTTAATCTTTACTCCCATTGGTGAAATCCCCTCATTCAACTACTCAAGAATTGGCTTTCTGGATAACAATTCTTTCCATGTGTGTTACTACAACAGGCCCAAGGTGTTTGATACTTGTAATCCCTTTCCAGCTAAGGGCACAGTACCAACAGCTGAGTCAAGTGGCATAAAATAATTTTTTTTAAAAATCCCACCACTACTAATTATTAATTCTGAAGTTTATAACAAGCTGAGAAAAGAGAAAAATGACAAGCTATTTCTTTCGGAAATTTAGTCTTCCTTTGAAATGGCTGGGAAAGTCTCATTCTGTCTTCACTGTGACTTTAGAAGGTCTGGCAGTTATCTTGAGCATGTGCATGTTTGAGGTATATCTCCAACCCTCTTCCTCTCACAGATTGGAAGTTTTAATGGTTTTGGTATCCCTTTGATCTCCAAGTGTGCCCTTTAATTCCAGTCACTTTTGGTATGTCTTGCTGCAAACGACCCTCAGCTGTGTTCCTTCTTCACCCAAGTTACCACAACTTGTGATGATCAATATCATGCCTATAATTACCATTAGTCCCATTAGTGGGCTAGAATAATTCAAAGGGAACAGCTTATTAAATTTCTGTGTAATCAATATTTTAATACTAGCAAAACCCGCTCATAAAATGAGGTGTAGCCCATTTGAAATTAATGACTGGGGGGGTGAGGGGGGACAGTTGAGTAACCTTACAAAAGAAAGGCTCGCATATCTGTGGTGGTCTTACAGGTTTTCCAGAGCTGTAAACTGTTGCTCACCAAGTGGAGGAGCATGGATTTGTGCCTGCACAGAATCCTCACTAGAACCCAACGCTTCCTCCTTACAGCCTTTGACTCCACAGCTTAGCAATGGCAAGCACTAGTAGAAGTAGAATTGTGAAAGAGCGAAATACAAAGTGGTTTGCAATTATACCTACCCAAAGCGTGCTTGTTCAGCTGCTTTCTACTTCTCACTTCTCTCACAATGTTGTCCAGATGTTTTTCTTGCCTGGTAGTTGCTAGTGCCATTTCTACCATTAGTTTGGTTTCTGAACTGGAGATTAAATGCTTGCTTCTTTCTGCCAAACTTTTATTCAATCTTTTACCCGAAAATTTTATGTCAAATGTGACACCTTCATTCCCTCTAAAATAAAATTGCAGCAAAAGTTTGCATTGATTTATGACAAGTTCTTTCTACTTTCTGCAGGTATTTGTATGCTCTGGAGATTCTGTGTCCCACAGATTTTATCTTTGTTGTCCTAACAAAGACATTTTCTTAAGATTGAAGTTTCTGTAGCATTTTGGTAGCCTATCAAATATAAATCCCGTTCAACACAATGTGTGTTGAAAGAATCTGTTCTGAAGATGATTAGATCTCGTCATTTTGTATTGCCACTAGTGAAAATACTTTCCTGACTAGAGAAAGTATGGATTTCTTTTAATAGATTCCAATCCTATCACTGACTACTGGCATCATTTAATCTGTTTTTGACTGAACTAGGCCAATATATTTTCTAGATAAATTAATATTTGCTCATTTCACAAGATCTTTTGAGTTCTAAAACTTGCATTGATGTTCCCACATCCTATAATAAATTGTTCTGGTAGTTAATTATTCTTATTGCTGGGGAAAAAAAAAGAAAGTCATTTTATTTGTAATCTACGTTTGTCTGGCACAAGCTTCCAGTCCTTTGATCTTGATATATTTTTATCGATTAGATTGGAGAGCAGGTTTCTCATTTACGTGTTTTCAGGATGCAATCAAATTACCTCTTCACTTTATTTTTTTTTTTAAACTAGATAATTTGAGCACTTCCAGTTTGTCATCCTAATGCATGACCCTCCTCAACAACCTCTTTAAATTCCCAGCTGTAATACTTTGCATATTTAACATTGAGTTACAGAGCTGTACAGTGAAAGCATTCATTCATGGGTAGGGCAGTACTCCTGTGCTAAAATAGTACGAATGAGACTACACTAATGCAGCCATTACCAAAAGGCTTGTATTCATTTTTCATTCATACGTAGGCAAAAATGAAACTAAGAGGGCACTTTTATTTGATTTTTTGTTTTAAAAACAAAACCCATAATTTCAATTTAAATTTGACTCTTTCTGTCAGGAAGTCCATTTTAAGAGAAGAATCATTATCCATTTTGAAACTGAGAGAGGAATAAGCTTTTAAACAGGTTTAAGAAGATGTAGAAATGGAGATAGTTGTACTGACCCTGCACTCGTGTGGAGTCAGCATGGAGAACAGCATTTCTAATCCTGGAGACACTTCTCTGGGGTTGTATAGCTATAGCAGAGAGGTATGCTGACAATGTCAGTCCCATTGAATTGCTGGATGTGTGGAGTTAGGCATTTCAGGATTGATGCAGCTAGAATACTTTGGCTGTATGTTTTGGAAATTATTCTTATTACTTACAATTAATATACTCATTTATATAAAGCATTATATCTATTAAGAAATATCAGATAGGTGGGAGGTAACTATATTCATACTTTTTTTTTCCTGAAACCAGTTATATTAACAAATATATTAAAAAGATTAACAGAACAAACCCACTGGTTTTACTTTACTTTTCAAAAAGCTTTTCAATGTAGTTGAGAGTTAAAAAAAAAGTTCAGAAAGTATCAAAGGAAAGCAGCTTACAAATTATGTAATGCAACAGTTGAAAGAGTTTAAAATAAAAGACTTACTACGTGGAATCTGGTCTAACCGAGGAACACACTCTGTAATACAATTATAAAGATCAAAGAAATAATAGTACTTTGGGCAAGAAATTAATTAAATCAGGCAATTCACCACTGGCTGTTAAGATCACTTAATCATTATCCAATTTCCTTATTTTCCTGTCCTTCTTGCTTATTAGATTTTAGTAAAACAGCAAGAGAAACTTTAAAAATAAGTTATACGTTCTAAATTACTGCCACTCTAAG